GTGAAGTAAGAGCTTTTCTTTAAGTCTTTGGAGGACAGCTGCTTCAACCGTCAGGAGTATCTGCAGAAACTATGATAAATTAGTAAAAGGTTTGCTACAAAACAAGTTTACATATAGTCTTTTTACCTCAAACACCTAGTTTTGAACTTTAAAAAGCATTTTACCCTTTTAAATAGTTTGTGTGTTTCTACCAGTTTTCTTTTTATTATACTAAAGCTCTCCAAAACCACTGAACTTGAGACAGTTTGGGTAAGAGAGAACATATATGTCAGTTCACAGAAAAACACACACACAGTTTGCTCAGACTCCAGAAGTGTCAGAGTTTTCTGCATGCAATCACACGCTCAGCTGAGGACATACATACACCACTAATTGTCTATAAAACCAGGCAATGAAATTGCATTTGTGGACATCTCCCACAATTTCTGTCTTTAATTACCTCTTATCACACATCCTTCTAACTACTGTCCTAAATTCCTCAATATATTTCCACCCTCCTCTGTAATTTTGCCACTCCTGTGATAGATAAGTTCTTCGGTAATATTGCTCTTCGGAATAAATAAATGGCAATGTCACTGTGACCTTGGAAGCCTCTCTTGCATGGAAGATACTAATACTTATAATGTAGGTTCATGATAGAAACTGAAGTATGAGAACATGCACCTCCATGGAACTGCACAAAAACAGCTTAATTATTTTTTTCGTTGTTGTTGAGAATATTTTCCAACTGATGGCCAAGCTGGAGCTCAGTCTGGTGAAGTACAGCAGTGCTTGGTACAGCCGGTTTCAAACATTCTGCTATCAATAACCAGATAGTTGTAAAGCCTCCTGTAGTCACTGCTCCTGCTGTGACACCTTACCAGGGAAGGAAGGCCATCAGCAGTCATCATAAGGAGACAGATTTATTTCACCTGGTTCATGTTTCTGCTACTAGGGTGAGTAATCCAAACTCGCATCAGCTGAACCTTAAACCTGAAAATTCCATTTCAAAGTAATTTGTTTCCAGCCTTCACTTAAATATGGTCAAAGGACACTGTGAAAATAGTAAATTCCCTGCTAAGTGGAATAAAGGCAGAAGTTTTGGAAACGTTCCGGACTCCAGAGAGGAGTAATCTTCATGACAATTTGTCTCTCCTTTAAAACACCTTAAAAATTACCAAAAAAAAAAAAAAAAAAAAAAAAAAAGTGTGATATGTCACCACTCAGGGAACTTGCATTTTAAGTTATCTGACAACATTTTCCCATTCAATATGAAGCCTACCTTCACAGGAGGACCTCCTGAAAGACTTTGCTGATGAGCTGTTTCATCACACCAGCACCTGAATGACAGATCCGAAACACTAAAAACGCATGCAAAAGAGTCAGTAGCAAGACAGCAAACACTTCAGTGCTGCTGACAAAAGCGATCTGTCACCAAAACCGAACAAAAACAAACCAGCAGCTTTACCATAGACAGTAAGTCAATTAGTAATGAGCAATGCACTCATTAATACTTCTGTGGATACACATTCTACTGATAACACCACACATTTGTGAAGATTATCCAAATCAAGCTCCTGTTATCTGGGGCATCTATGTAATTTGGATAACGTTTAGGTAACGATGCCAATTAGTACAGTGGATTCATGTGATACCGCTCCACAGCGGACACAAAAAAAAAAAAAAAAAAAAAAAAATCAACCAAACAAACAAGTATGACAAAAAAAGGCAGTAGGAGCCTAGCCATGAAGCCAAGATGAAGCTCCAAGGCTGGAGAGAGCTGTGGGAAGGAAATATGCCCACCAGAGCTGCAGAGCACCTACAGCTCAAGCACTCAGGGTGTGGAGATGGGACCTATGAAGTTCCCCTGCACATCTCTAAGGAGAGCAGGTTGCAAATGTAGTCTTCTCAGCTTCGTAAGCTGTTAGCAAGGTTTTTCTCAGGCTTCTGAAATTCGTTTATTGCAACAGTTGCAACTCCTTCACCAGGTAATTGCAAGGGAATCTGGGTCCATCAGCCTCCTCAGGAAAAGACCGACTGAAGCATAAGAAAAGGAAATCATGCCTCTTCATGGCTTGAACAGTACAGCCTCAACTGCAGGACTTCTCCCTTACCCTATCACCCTCCTAGCTGGATTCCTTTCTCCTCACTTCTTTTTTCCATCTCATTTCCAGCTCTGCACCTGCACAGCATCTTCTCTTTCCAATTTTATATATATAAAATTAGAGGAGTTGTAACCTGGCTAAGGACAGATCTGACAGACTGGAAGAATTTTACTGTATTTCAAATCCAGAGAAAAGATTTAGATAATTCAAACTTTCTTGGGGTTTCCCCCCCACACGCTCATTTTTTTTCCTGATGTCATCCACTGGTCTAATAGAAGGTGTTACCTCTCCCTACAGCACCTCACTAATATTTTACATTACCATGGCTACCACAACACTGCTATTAACACAACCCATGACATTTTCCCAATTCTCTTATTACCAATGGTGAGCCTCAGTGCATTCCAAATTTCAGTGCCTTTCACATAGATTAAGCTTAGCATGCTCCAGTGACTCAGAATTTCCTCCCATAAAGGAAAATCAGCCTGATATGGTCAATAATTTTTGCAGTGTATCATAAAGTTTATCTGATGTGCAAATGTAATTCTCTTTCTGGATGCCTCATCCCAAATCCCTTCTAGGTTGAGACCACTTGACATTTTTTAAACAAAATGCCTTTTAAGTCCTAATTTGTACTCCACTCAGTTTTGATAAGACATGACATTATGATAAGATGAATTAGTTGATTCTAAGTAAATTTGATTTATCCCAGTTTTTGGGCTGGTATGATTTACAAGGATGTTGCCTTTTAAGATGGGATTGATTTTAATGTAAGCTGACAGCACCTTTTTTTTGGTGTGTGTGTGTGAAACACTAAATCAGAGCGAGGTAACTATGAAAACAAAACAAAGGGAAAATGAAGCAAAATTTAATTTACCAGAAATTAATATTCATGAATAATTGGCACCTGCTTATCTCCATCAAGGAAGACAGAGTGACAAATCAGTTTCCAGAACAATTCCACAAAATGTTTGAAACTTTGATTTTTATTCATAAGATCAGATGCACACTACAGCTGCTGAAATGTAATCTGACCGTTTTGTGAATACCATGGAAAGTTCTTGAAATATTTTCCATCAAACAAGCAGTATCACGACCACGAATCTTCATGTATCAAAGTAAAAGCATATGTACCCTTCATAAAACTGAAAGATTTTCTAAGAACCTCTCCTATCTGGCTGTTCAGGTGCCATTATATTGAATACTACCCTCATTTCTTTGCAATATCCTTGTACCTTATGATGCAGTGTTTTAAACATGCAAGTTTGTGATGCTGCAGCAATACTTTTCTCTTTGATAGGTAGTTATTTCTCATTTTTACAGCATGAATCACTTAAGTAATTTTGATAGCTAGGTAGGAAAGGGACTGGAGAGCTTTGGTAGTTCGACTGAAGCAGAAATCTATACCCCACACTGACTATCTAGAGGCATCCACACTCACCCAAACGAGTTGTAAGCAGTTAGTAAACAATTTAGTTGGTAGTGTCTACGTGACGGAGAGAAGCCGAATGTCTAACACCAAGAATTCAATGCCTTACAGAGTTATATTTTTACTGAAATCTAGCTAAATTCTCACGGACTGGGTGCAACAACGTTCAGAGCAGCCTCATTCATGAGACCACGCAGTTTTGAAGCTGAAGGGCTACAAACAAGCCGACAGACTATTTTCTGATTAGCAGTGGTTTCTACAGCAGTAAGAAAACCTGAGTCAGAGCAGCACCCTGCCATTCCCGCACCTGAGCAGAACAGATGGGGGACTTCGCCTCTACTTAAAAAATATTCAATTCAAGCATCTCGGAGGAAAATAAGAGAGGGCTGGTAACAGTACGGAATGCGACAGGAGACCCTGAGACGAACTCCGGTAGGAGGACCGCTACCCTCTTTGATCAGAGACTCCTTCCGAGAAGGAAAAAAAAGAGTTGCAACTTCTGAAATCTTGCTCAGCTCGGCTGAGGGGTCCTGAGCTCCTTCTCCCTCACCGGCTCTACCGAGCTCAGCAGCCGCCCGCTGCCGAAAGACAAGCTCGGGTATGAAGCGGGCGGCAACTTGGCTAAATCAAACCAAGGAACTTTTGGAACAGTCCGGGGGAAAAGCGGCGGGGATTCGCCCTCACGGCGGCACCCCACCGCCCAGCCCCGGGGCTTGCTCGGGGAGCCCCGGCCGGTGCCGCTCGCCAGCAGCCGGGGGGGCGGGAGGGGACCGCGCCCGCGCAATTAACGCCCGCGCTGCATTTTTTTTTTTTTTCTTTTTTTAAAGCGAAGCGATCATTCAGAAGCCGGCGCGCTCCAGCTGGGTCACCGCGGGGCACATCCCCCCCCGGCCCCGCGGCTCGCTCCGCCGACAGCCGCGGCCCCTCACGCAGCTCCCGGCCCCCAAGTTGGCACGGAGCGCTCCGCACCCCGCGCAGGGGCAGAGAACCGCGCAGGGACGCCCGCAAAAACTTCCCGGGGAGAAGCCGGTACCGGCGGAAAGTTCCGCGGCGGGCGCTCCTTACCTCCGCCGGCTCCCGCTGCTAGCGCCCGGGCGACGGGCGGTAATCCCCAGAGCGTCGCCAGGGCTAGGAGGAGGGCGGACATCGCGGCGGGAGGCGGTGAGGAGAAGGCTGGCGGCGGGGCGCGGGAGCAGCGGCGGCGCCGCCCCAGATGCGCGGAGCCTCCGCGGGAGCGGCACTTTTCAGCGGCGGAGCGCGGCTCGCCTCGCCTCGCCTCGCCTCACGCAGCGAGCGGGCAGCGCGGGGCGCCGGCGGCCGGCAGCGCCGCGCTCCGCCCCCCGCCCCGCCCCGCGCCCCCCCGCCGCGCGCCGCCGCCCCGCCCCCGCGGAGCGCGAGGCGAGGGAGGAGAGCGGCGCCCGCGCTTCGCCCGTTATTATTCTTTTTTTTTTTTTTTTTTTCATTTTAAAATCATGAGGTAATTTTTTAAAAAATTCGCAACAGCCAACGTCGGGAAGGCTCGGGCAGCACGGTGGGTGAGTCAGCATAAAGAGAAAAAAGATTTAAAAAGCTAAAATCCCCACCAACCCTCGTGGCTTTATGGAGCGGCGGGGGATGACGGGGCCGTGAGGCCGGGGACGTGCTGCTTCTGCCCGGGAACAAGAAGTTGACACCCAGAGCAGCTCGGCTCGGCTTGGCTTCAGCTGATGGCGCTGCCCGGAGCGGGCAGCCAGCTCACGTCCTACGTGTGCTCCCTTCTTTGCGCGGCTGACTCGTAACTTTTACTTTACATAAGCGTATTGCTTTGAAACTAGCACGTAACACATGTATGGTTTGCTGATCACATTTCCTCATCTCTTTTTTTTGGTTTTGTTTTGTTGTTTGTTTGTTTGTTTTCCTAACAAACCAGGCCCTCTAATAGATGAAAGGTGATAAAGCTTTTACATCATCCTCAGATATTAGTTTTCTCCAAAGACAGCAAGGTGCTAAAATTACATTTCAAGGGTAAAGGCTCAGTCCTTTCAACTTCATGTTTATATTCCCCAACACAGAACCTAAATACCTTTTATATGAGGCAGTATGGCCAAGAGACTTCCAGGGGCAGAAAGACTGCGTGATGCTGAAGGGCAGAATAATACACAATTGCAGAGAAATATGAAATATTTATTTATTTCTGGTGAAATGCGGGACGGACCGTGTCATACGGTTGCCCAAGAACTGAAAAGCCCAGTCCTGGCCCCAGGGACTCCCCTGAGGTCAGGGCCTGGCAACACTCGCAGAGGGTTACTGGTAGCTTTATTACTGCAAATAATTTACAGCTGAGGGGAAAAATCCAGTTGGATCAAATTCTGTATTTATCTACTCTCTTTAAAGCCTATGTAATTCCCCTACAGTCAATTAGTATTTATACAGCCATAACCGAGCAGAGTTATAGATCCCAGTGTAGAAAACCTTTGCTAATGCAGAAAGGAGCCGATCTGAATTAAGGTGAAAAAACCTGGCAGTGTCCATGGTCTTGGAAATCAGTTGCTTTTACAACCAAAATGAAGTCATGCTGAATGTCACACCGAAACATTATTCCACCACATTTACAGATGAGATTGCTTTGCGTCCTTCTGTAAGCCACCAGAGCCACCTATATGGCTCTTACTGATTAATTATGATTTTATTTGAGCAACCTTTTATATTTCAATAGGAAAATGCATAGATGCTACAGCCAAATGAGAAAATGTGTGAAGGAAAACCAGGGAATTCCAAGTTGTGAGGAACTCCTGCTTAAATCAGTGACATTTCCCACATGCCAGGACTGTCACATGGTATAAAGAAACACATATTTGCAAGTGAACATGCTGTCCCTGTATTTTCGGGCTATGGAACTATCTTTACAGCATAGTCTTCCTTCATCTTGACTTCTTGCATCCTCTGCAAAAGTCTCAAGGTCTGCAAGGTTACAAGTGGTCACGCTTTTCCCCCAAACGTTATCTGTTAATTGGCATGCTGCCCTTTTGTGCCTTCTCAGGGAAACACCTCGACTAAAATCCCTCTCTTCAACCATCTGATGCTTTATTTCTAATTCGCCCTTTTTCGGTCTTATTCCATACTTATTTAACAACAGTCCTCACTACTCCTCTGGAATAATTTTTTTTAATGATACAGTGCAATTTACTGCTCATTTTAAACATTAACATTTATGAGAGTCTTTGAAGAATTAACTGATCTTTCTTTCAATACTGCAGATCCCATATGCACATAAACTCATTAAAATATTTAAATAATATTTATAATAAAAGTCAATGGCCTCCTTGTTTACAGGACATAAAGTGTCAATATAGAGTATGCAGATTTATGACTAAAAATGCAATTACTGGTAAGTAATCATTTGTCAAATTACTGCCTAAAAATGTAGCCTGCTTTAAGATAGCGCTATGAGGCAATAATTATCACAGAAGATTGGTTTTAGAATACAGGCTGTTGAACAAATACAAGTTGACCTTTGATAAATCATCCTCCAAAACTTCATTTCCATTAAACATCACTGGCTGTGAAGTGATGGAATGTCTTTATGTGATGGGGTGGGACAACTCCAAGAACACAGTAAAAATGTGTACGAGTATCTGATATTCTCATATCTCCTTTCGACCACAAAAAAAGGCAGCACCAAGATCTGTATGAAAGTTTTAATGTATATCTTTTGTGAATAAACCTAAAATGTTTGCTGAAGTGACCAGGGATGTAATTCAAATGCTTTAAGCAATCACCTGCTGTGTGACATGCCCTTCCCATACCTCAGACCTCAAAAAAAAAAAAAAAAAAAAAAGGAAATGGAGATTTTAACTGGATACTGTTTCTGCATTTCTAGGCTCCCTGCTGGTGTTTGTATGCACACAACTTCACCCAGATTTCTGCGTGGTGAGTGACCATCGAGAGGGGCAGGACTGGTGGCAGACACAGAGATCAGGAACTAGATGGGTTTGTCAGATATATAATGAGGTCTCCAGCCACTCCCATTTGAAAGAAATGAACCAGAAGCCCTGGGGAGTTGAACTACAAGTGGATACAGAGGAGAGAGGCAGAAAGGAATTGAGCAAGTAGAGGTGTCTGTCCCGTTCTACAACCAAAACCAGGTAATTATATGGGAGACTAGAGTGAAGTACTTGCGGGACAGAAAATTCCAAGTTAGAGGTCTGTTTGCTCCCACAGTGTTTTATAACTTCTTCCTTCTAATCAGAGTTATTAACACTGACAGGTTAAATAAATGAATTCATCAAGCTATAGAATATTATGAAAACTCTTATTGAGATAAATTAAAGAAAGTAGAACCAATCATTTGTACTTGCTGGTGTAAAACAACACGGGAATATTAATTATAAGCCAAAGGTAATTCTGGCATCAGTCACTGTGAAACTACCTCGATGGCATCACTGAAAATCGGGTTATGCCGTTATTTACTGTTTATCAGCCATGGCCCTCGAGGAGGTGGGTGGGTAGGTGAGGATGGTCGCATCGACGATTCCCCTGCTGCCGCCAGGACAGGGGGTTGTTACGGGATGCTGCGGATGCAGGGTGGTAGGGCCAAAGGTTGCTGACGATGTGTGCGGCCCTTTGGAGAGCATGGCGGGCGCCCGGCCGGGTTGCTAGGGGATGGTGCTGGCAGCCAGTCCGAAGGCGGCCGGGTGCCCTGCCCTGTCCCACCGGATAGAGAAAAGTTGCCAGGCAGCAGCTGACACAGGAGCAGAAAGAAGGAAGAAAGTATTTGAGGGGAACAAGAAGGGAAGAAAGACCAACGATTGAAAAAACAAGAAAAAACCCCACCCTATCTGAATTCAGGGTTTTGCATTACAAGCTGTCCCTACTGGAGAAAACATCCCTAAAGGAATTTTTCATTACTGCAGTGCCACAGTGGTTTCATTATTAAAGACTTTCTGAATGTGCATCTTCAACAGCTGCTGGAAAAGTTCTTCATGTGTGAGCTGTAATGTGTATATTTGCATACCAAGTGCCATGGATGGAAACTGCTGCCTGGCATTTGAGATGTTTTGGCATGGCTTTAATACATAAATTGGGAGGTATTAAAAAACACATGAAAATGGATCACTGTGAAGACCTGCCTCACAAGTGCAACAATCAACAGGACAAGAAAAACTCAAAGTCCTAAGCCTGGAAACCATGATTCTGATCTAGTCCTAATCTCCATCTTCCAACTATTGTAAAGAAATTCTATTATATCATTCCGCTTGCGAATGCTTGAGAGGTGGTACTGGACCATATGCCAATTCAGATGAAATGCAATGAACTGGTGCAAGTCTGCTAAAGACAAGGCAGCAAAACGCCAGCTTATGGTGCCCAGACATCTGCTTGGGACAAGTGACATTTTGCAGTTAACTGGATATGCTTTAGCGAAGACATAAATGGGAGATCTTAATGCTGATTGCAAGGTTTGTTTCTCATAAAAATAGGCTCATAAAAGTTACTAGAACAGAAAAGAACTCATCACCTTTTCAAATCTGCTTAAAGGACAATTTTGAGGGGAAAAAAAAAAAAACCAAAAGAAACTCTTTAAAAAGAAACTTTCAAATTATTTTATTATCTAGTAAATTAAGTTGCTTCTATAAAACAGCCCAACTTCCTTAGGTGGCATCCTGCTGTACTCAGAGGTGTTGCACCAGCATGTAGGAAAAGATCAAATTTATTTCCCATAAGCGGAGTAAAAAATTGTACTTATCCCAAAAAATAAGACTTATGGCCAATGCTGAGAAAAAATAAGAAAAGTAGAAAAAAGAGAGAAAAAGATACAATTAAATCTGTTTCAAAGTCCCATGGTAAAATTTGTGTCCAGACCATGTGGCATATTAACCAGTTCAAGGTTCTTCTTTCTGCAGTTTATCCCCAAATAAATATACTCTGTATCTCCAAGTACAGTAATAAAATTACCTTTGTTTAATAAAATGTGATTTTCCAAGACAGTGGATGCCTTGAGTTCATCTCACAAAAACTCATGAGCACATCCTTAAAGTTAAAGACAATTTTATTCTACATCATTAGTCCTGAAGGTCCAGTTACTGAAATAATTGAGATTTGAACATTTAAGTACCTCTGCAGTACTGCCGAGGGGTAGCAGAGGTAACCAGTAGTACCAGTAGTAACTTTGGATTAATTCCATAGTTGGTAACATATACACAGCACCTATTCAGAAATCTACAGGAAAATTGCCTAAGGAGAGAATTCATCTTTTTTTTTTTTTTTTTTATTAGATTGCAATGCAACTAATTTATGAAATTTTCTATTTCATCTTGCAAGTGTTGTGAAAGAGTACAGCTTTACCTACCTCTTTTATTTCCTAAACACAGTATCAGGAATAACCTAATGGGATCTTTCTCAGTGATAGTGAATGATTAAAATAATAATAATACATAATGCATAATGTCATTCGACAGAAGTCATTATCCATTACCACAGCCTTCTATTAGGTTTCCATATTTTACTGCTCTCAAGGAGCATATATTTGCCATTTGCCAGAAGCGCAAGAACTAGAAGTAACATTTAAAAAAACAAGTATTTTTATAAGACTTACATCTGCTGGTACTGAAATCAGAGAGAATTCATGCCACTTAATAAGTATTGTAAATGGATCCCGTTATGACATCTATCAATCACGTATTCACAATCGTGCAGCATATCCTGAAGAAAAAGATGGTATATCGCATAAAGAGGTGTGCCTCTACTGACAAACCTGGCAAGCTTGTGGTTGTCTAACATGCCCTGGAAATATATAAATCACTTATCCTTACAACAATAAAATCAATTACAATAAATCTCTTTATTATAAAAAAAAGTAAAGTTGCCATATCTGTTGTATATCAGCTCCACATGCAAAAAAATAACTCGGTTTGGCGCAAAGCAGGGCTATCACTTCACATTTCCTGATCTTGTGGGGTTATGCTATAGGTGCCCTTTTCCCAAGGGAAGTGCTCCTTTTCCATCCCAAACACACCTCCACGTTGCTTGGCTCATCCGTGTCACCAACTCACAAAATGCCCCCTTCTTGATAAATGTTGGACACCTGCGTTACTGAAGAAGCCAGGGCTAACGCTTTTCTTCCAGCACAACTTTTTATTCTGCAGAGAAGCCCAATTTTATTACTTAGCTGGGGTTTAGCCCTGGGGCTACTGGTGCATCATCCCAGCCCCTGTCCCAGCCCTATTGCATTGCAGCAGCATCAGTGCCGCCTGGCCCGTCACGAGAGCTTGTGTGTGCAACTGTTTACTGTCCAAACTTCCTTTAACGCTTCCTTTAGGAGAAATTAGTAGTATTTACCAGTTTGAGATGTTTGGAAAATTATCCTGCCGACAGCTATTATATTCACTTTTACAGTATCTTCCTCCAGAATCTATCGGAATGAAAACTTACGGGTCTGCACCACAGCATTTTAAAGATTAAATGAGCCTTCCCCCCTACTTCAAAGCAAATTATTGTGTGATGGCAGCCAGGTGCCATAGCAGGATTTTCATTCTGGTTTTGGGCTAAATCTGATTAATCATAAAACAGATCAAATAAAAGAACATCTGGTACAAGGTTTTTGCCATCAGATAAAGGCTTTACGGTAGCAGTCCAAATGACTGCTGTGGCAATCAGCCACGACTACAACAGTGGGCAAAATTTTCCTTTTCAGTAAAAAAAAAAAAAAAATTCAAAAATAATTTGAATAAATAATTGTTACACCCCATAAAATCAAGAACAGAGCGTGTGACTGTCATTAAAGTTTAAAACCATCCCCAAACTCAGTAGGCGAATCATAATTGTATCTACCATCAAAACATAATGTACAAGGTACCTTGTTTAGAATTTAAAAAAAAATGCAGACAAGCTCCACAGTCTACATGATGTTTTTAGGCTTTTAGCATAATCAGGCTCTGAGTGTCATTTAAACGCACCTTTTAATATCACTTTGTCTTTCATCGGGGAATAGTAAGGCTGCGACAAAAAAAATGTTTTCGTTTATTTTACTCACTTTTGTTCTCTATATAAAAGGTAATGTGAAAATGTGCCCCAGGGTCTGCCCCGTTCCATCGCAGCACAAGCGGACTCGTTCGGGAGGAGCAGGATCTGTTTGCAGTACTTGAGTGCCCCCCATAGGCTATTGCTCAAATAATTGTTTTAAACTGGGCATAAAAGCAAAAATCTTTCAATTTGGGGAAAAAGGAGCCTAAAACTTTAAAACCAAACCGTTCCACCCCCTAATCAAGATATAGCTCTCAAAGGAAAATCGCGGTGGTTGACATAACTCTAATGCCAGTCACTATTTACATTATGTTTTCTTTTTTGAGAGCTTATTTAAAATAACTTTTGCTTCTTTAAATGTAGCCATTTAAATTGATAAATTGTCTTCCTTCATAGATATATTTTAAAAAGCAGAATAGTTACTTTTCCAACAGAATTAAAAAAGAATTGAAGGTTTATAGGAATAGATACTGCAAAAGTAAATTATAACTTTCAATGATATAGTTCTCAAATAAGAAAAGTGACATAAATTCATATATTCTATCAGACAAAAAAACGTTAATTATGTTGAATACTTAAAAATTAGGAAATTAAAAATTATGTTAATATTCAATCTTTTTATAACTGCCTTCTGCTTATCTTCGGCAGGACATTAAAATATATTGTCCTTTTATCTGCTGATTGATGTTAGAGTAAACATTGTTGCTAATGAAACTTCACGCATATGACCTTGGGGGTGTCAAATACCTCCTTGTCAAATACCTACGTGCCTTTGGAGCATCTTATGTCTGCATAAATACACATAAATGGAGCATGAAGAAGAGAGGTGGCAGAAGGGGCAAATCAAAGTATTGGGAAAAAAAAAATCAACTGTGATGGGGAAAAAAAATCAACTGTGATATTTAAAAAAAAAAAAAAAAAGTTCAGGAGGTGCAGTCATTGCAAAACATGTTACAACGTGCTTCACAATGGAACAGAAACCCTCCGAGGGGTTAATTCCCCCAGGCTTATTCAGCTAATGCTGTTAGGGAATCACAGCATTTACTCTTTCATGTCAGTAGATGGAATAACAATGAAACTCAGAAATTGCTACATGGAGGAGAAGGAGAGCTGGGAATGAGAAAAT